ACCATTCACCATTCTGGCTAAATCTTATCCCTGCTGAATTCAACTTTCTATTTAGTCTACAAGAGACAGCGTAGTGTAGAGCATACTGGTGCTAGTTCAAGTGTTAGCGGGCCCAAACTGCTGCCTTGCCACATAACAGCTATGCGTCTTTAAGTAAGTTGCTCACTGTTTCTGCAAGATGAAGAGGGTAATAATAATGCCTGACTCATGGACATGTAATGAAGTTTAGATGAAACTATATACTTAGACTGATACTGGCCACAATAGGCATTTAATAAACATTAGCAGGATTATTTTTATTATTATTTTTCTGAGCATAAACCAATGGAATAAAGTTGGGGAAAATCAAATACCCAGACAGACGACTTGAACCACAAACAGAGAACCATGAACATCATATGGAACTTCAATACTGTCTGGAAATTCTATTTGATTCCCCTCTCCTAGTCTCCCATACTATTTCAAGCCTTTAGCTCTTCAAATCTCCTTCACCTCAGCTTCCTGCTGTGTGAGGAAAAAGGAAGCCATCAGACAAGTACTACTTCCTCTAACCATCATCCAGTATACATCTATCTACATCTGACCACATTTTCTTCACCTCTCTAATTGAATGGCATGAAGATCTTTGCATCCATCAAGTTCAACCCCAGTATCTGGCTGTGGTCCCTACCCCCTGTGGATTTTCCAAAGACTTTCCTGCTGCACTCTTCTCTCTTTTCTCAAGATCTTCAGTTCCTCAATAAGCAAACCCCAATAATCCTCACTTCCTGGTATCCATGCCCTTGTATTTCTCCTCCCCTTAAGTGTGGGTGGCTCACATCTAACCAAGAGAACATGGCAAAGTTTTCAGAGTGTCACCCCTGTGATTACAGTGCATTCTATGAGACTCCCTCTTACTAGCAGACAGGCACTAAGGTTCTCCCTGCTGGCATGAGGAAGAAAGAAAAAATACAGAGGAAGCCCACATGACAAAGCACTGAGGGGAGTGGAAACTGAGGGGAGGGGAGAGGGGCTTTAAGAGCTGAGGGCAGCCAGTAGGTGACAGTCCACAAGCACCCTCCTCCTACAGATGCAACGAAGTGAATTCACCTAATAAGTGAATTCTTCCCTAATCAAGTCTCCTAATGAGAACATAGCTCACCAACACCCTGACTGCAGCCTTGTAAGGCTCAACAGCAGACCCAGTTAAGTTAAGCCTGACCTCTAACCCATATACTATGAGAACTGTTTGTGATAATTTGTACAAGAAAATGAATAAACTCTTCCTCTACCAAGTAATTCCCATCACGCTGCGGTCAACACACTAGGTTCGACAGTGTCATGTTTTTAAAAAATTTGTAGGGCCTCCCTGATGGTGCAGGGGGTTGAGTCTCAACACTATAAAGCTGTCTGCAGCCACTGCAGCACGAGTTCAATCCCTGGCCAGGGAACTAACCCACATGGCGCAGCAGACCTCTCCTGTCTCACACACTGCTCCCCTCAGCAGTGTATTTAAGTGAATCTGTGTGTGCTGCTCCCCACTCTGTTTCTGGTGAATCCTCTCACCCCTGCATCTCTGGCCTGCACTCCAGCTCTTCTAGATCATATGTTCTTCAAAAACTCCCCATCTTCTTTCCAACAAAACTTGCTAAAAAGACTTTTTCCTATGTCTCACTATGACCTTATCTCCCATTCACTGTTCAATCCACTATAGCAACATCCCTGACCTCATATTCTTTTATTAAGGATACTAAAATCGGGCCTCCCTGATGGCGCAAGGGTTAAGACACAACCTATGAAGCTAACCGCAGCCACCAGAGCATGAGTTCGATCCCCGGCCAAGGAGCAATCCACATGGTGCAGCAGACCTCTCCTGCCTCACCTGCTGCTCCCCTCAGCAGTGTATTTCAGTTAGTCTGCCTGTTCTGTTCCCCACTCTGTCTCTGATGGATCCTCTCACCGCCTGTACCCCTGTTCTTGTATGCATAAATAAATAAATCTTTTTTAAAAAATAGGAAAAAAAGGATACTAAAATCAAGGCTACATTATCTATTCTCAATAACATGTTTTTATCCTTATCTTATTCAATGTCCCATTCAACACAGTTCACTACTCTCCACATTTAGACCTATTTCTTCTCTTGGCTTACTGGAGTTAACAGTTTCTAGTTTTCCTCTGACCTATGCAGCTGCTGCTTCTCATTCATCTTACTAACCTCTCCTCCTATACCCCAGCTTAAATAGTGCCGGGTCACAGGGTTTGTCCCCTAAGGCCCTCCTCCCGTGGTCTACTACATTACTCTTCTAGTCCCCAGCTTTAAATGACATGAACATGTTGATGACTCTCAACATTTTCTCTCTAGCCCTGACCACTGCCCTCGGTTTCACACCCTACAGCCATCTGCCTAATTGTCATCTCCACTTGGATACCCAGACATCATCTCAGACTTAACATGTACAAAACAAAATATTTGATTTCACCCTCACAAAAATCTATTGATCTTCCAGTTTTCCAATCTCAGTACATGCCACATCTAACCCATAGGGACCTCTCTGTCCTTACAACTCTCACCTAATTCATCAGCAATTGCCTGCAGATCAAATTTTGCAACAGATCCTGAAGTCTACTTAAGTCTACTCCCGTAAGTCTACTTCTGTTAACCTAGTCCAGACTGCCTTTCCCTCCCTCTTGGACTATAGTGACAGTCACCTACCTGGTCTTCCTTCTTCTCCCTCCTGTTCTCTATACTCACATAGCATGACCTTTTAAAAATACAAATCACCTTTTATGCCTTTACTGCTCAAAACTTTCCAGAGATTCTACATTTAAAAGACCCACTGGGTTTTCTGTGGCTGGCCTCTACCTTCCTTTCCAACATATCTACTACCAACCAAGTTACAGTAACATTTACCTTTTCCTCCTTCCCATCCCAACATGTTTGCAGTTGTTATCACCCTGCCTGGAAATATCTTCCCAAACTGCAAATTTGTGATCACAGATCAAATGTCCCCTCCTCAGTTAGGTCTTTCCCATAGTAGATTTCATTCATTCCCTCATAGAGTATATTACAAACTCAAGAGCCACACTTACTTGTTTGTTGGTTTGGTAGATCATTGCTGTATATCCTCTTATTAGATTTAGGCATCTGGAAGATGCTTGTTGCTGTTTTCTATAATAGCATTTGGCACATAGTAGGTGCTCAATAAATATTTGAGTAAGTCAATGCATATGTATCATACATATGATGTTGACATTCTTATTTGCATTAGAATAAAATATTGCATTTGAAAATATCTTTAGAGGCTGTATGAAGAAGGCTTTACAGCAGTAAAAAAAAAATTCATAAGAAGTATACCTTAAGTCACTCACTCAATATGTGAATTTCTGAAAAGTGGCCAAACCAAAACATTATAAACTAATGCCCACTTTAAAAGAGTTTAACAGAAATTTCTTTGAAGATAGGAAAAAAATTATGTGTATTAACACACTCTATTTATTATGTTCTTACAGATTTTTATCTTTTCCTACACTGGGGCTGCTTTGATCACAGACTATAAATTATATTGTTTCTATCACAAATTGTTTTACTACTGTTCCAACTACAAGAAATTGTCAGGGTCTGGACAGAAATGCAAAGGCAAATGCAAATGCAAATGTATACCTCTTGTTATACAATGTCACCGATGCCAAGTGACTTAATACCCAGTAATATCCTGTAGCCATTCAATGCAGGCTTTTTGGCAGACCATGGTAATGAGCGTGGTCATGGTCTATATTCCAACAAGCAACTGTCAAAAACTATCACCCCAAACGACTACTTACTGAAAATTTCTCACTCCCAGAGCTGGTACTTCCAGGGTGGTCTAGGAAAGAAATTTGTGTCATTGTCTACTCTAGGGCTATTCTAGATGCTGATGCTTAACATTTCTTTGGAAATGCAATTTCATGCTTTAAAGGAGGTTTTTTTGTTTTTTGTGCAAGTCCCAAAAATTTTTTTAAAAATATTCTCTATTATGCTCGTTTATTTGTGTAGTTTATACACCAGTATCACCTGAAAACTCCAGTAGTTACTAAGTTGATGTTAAGAACCACTCTTGAGAAAAATCACTCCATCGCTTACCACTTGCTGCCCTCAAAACTTCTTAGCAACATACTGCATGAACCTCAACGTGGTTTGCTTTGTCCAATCGCATGCCTGAAAGCCCAGCCAGTGAGTTGTGTAATAATAAACCCCTTATCTCCTGAAGATACACAAACGGGAAATCTCTTGGTGCTTCACTTCTTTAGAATTCTCAGCAGAAACTCATGTCCATTTTAAATTAATGCCAAATATCCCCACCCCCCACCCCAACATACACTTTTCCCGATTTCCTCCTTTTTCCTTATTTACACTTTTGAGAAGGAGGGAAAATGCTAAAACAATGTCGAGTTCAAATCAGGGAAGGGGTGGGGGCCGCACTGCCAAAAAGCTGCCAGCAAAATGCATGTAGAAACCAAGGGCTTGGTTTTTGCCGTACTGGGCTTACCGGTTCCCTCACAAGCACCGGTGATGGAAACTCATCAACAACTGATCTTGGGTGATGCCAGTTGCCATAAGCCTGTCTCAAAATACGGACAAGGGGACACTTGTGCTACCTCCGGGAAGAATAAAATCGCGGTCCCTCCTACCTCGCCCGTCCCCATCGGGCGCAAACCGGCGCCTACCGCGTCCCATCTCCAAGTTCCCTACCTCACCAGGGCGCAGTGTCCTTCTGCACCCGCTCGCGATCGCAGATCTTCCCGGACAGCGAGCGCTGCAGCCGGGCAAGGTGCTGGGGGCCCCGGGCGTGAGCTCATCGGTTCCCAAGCGCTGCCCCGCGCAGTCGCCGGCCCCGCCAGACACACCCCTCCCGGGCCGGTCCCCGCCGGCCGCAGCTCCCGACCTCAGCCCGCGCCGCGCCGCGCCCGCCCGCCCGCCCGCCCGGGGCCCGGCCCCTTCCCGGGCCGGCGGGTCCCGCGCGCGCCCCCGCGCCCACACGCACCTTCATCGCGCCCCGGGCCGGGCCCTTGGGGACCGCGCGGCCAGGGCCGAGGGGCCCGAAGCGCTCCTCTCCGTCCTCCTCGTCGTCAAAGCCGTCCACCACCTCGACGACCACCTCCTCGTCCTCGTCTTCCAAGTCGTCCTCCTCCTCCTCCGCGCCCCCTCGGGGCTTCTCCGCCACCCGCCCGAGCCCCCTGCGCCGCCTGCTCCCGCCTTCCTCGTCCTCGTCTTCCTCCCCGAGCAGCAGCAGCACCGGCGACGAGGCGGCCGCAGCCCCGGCGGCCCGAGGGGGGCCGGTCCCGGCGCTGCGCGGCGGCGGCAAAGGCGGCCTCCAGCTCTCCGCGGCCGGAGGCGCGGCCGGGCCCGGGGCGGGGGGCGGGAGCCCGGGCAGGGCGCCCTCGCGGGCGGGCGCGGGCGCGGGTCCGGGCGGCTGCAGCGCTGCACCCCCCGGCGGCTGCCCAGGCTGGAGCGCTTGGCGAGACGCCGCGCCTGCATGCCTGACCGCGGGCGCCGGCCGCGACGCCGAGCCGGAGTTTGTCACCTCCTCCTCCGCAGCCTCCTCCTCCCGGGGCGGCCGCGGCGGTCGCCGGGGCCCGGGGCGCGGGCTGCGGGGGGCTGCGGGGGGCTGCGGGAGCCGCCTCCCCGCGCTGGCCGCGACCACTGGCTGCAGAGGCGCGGGCGCCGCCTTCGCTGGACCGGCCCGCGGGGACGCCGGCGGCCGGGGGTTACGGCGGGGCGGCGCGGCGGCCGCGGGCGGGGGTGGGTGTGAGCGAGCGGCGCGCTGCCGCCTTCGCCGCAGCCGCCCGGGAGCCGCGGGCCGCGCTGCGCTCCATGCGGCTGGCGGCCGGGCCCGCGCGCGCCTCTCCCGGCCCGAGGCGCCCGCGCGGTCCGGGCCTACAGCTGCTGTCCCTGGGCGCGAGCTGTTTGTGTTGTGTATTTTCCACCACCGCCCCCCTCTTCGCGAGTCATTCCTCACAGCCCTTCGGTCCCCCTGTTCAGACAAAACCCGGACTGGATTTGGTTCCCCTACCCAAGCCTCCGAAATTCTGGTGCTTCCAAGCAATTGGCTCAGATGCTGGGGCAAACGCTGCCGCGTAGCTGATTATTCCCTTCGAGGGAGGAGGGTAGACTTTGCTGGAAGTAAGGTTGTCAGGCAAAGTCAGACTTTGAACGAAGAGGTTGGCCACCAGTCTTTTTTTTTTTTTTTAAAGATTGATTTGTTTTTATACAAGAGCTGGGGTACAGGCCAGAGGCACAGAAGGGTGAGAGGATTCACCTCACCAGAGGCAGAGCAGGGAGCAGAACAGGCAGATGGACCGAAAACACCGCTGAGAGGAGCAGTGGATGAGACAGGAGAGGTCTACCGCACCATGTGGGTATCTCCCTGGCTGGCCAGGAATCGAACCCGCCCGCGCAGCAGAGGCTGCGGACAGCTCCACAAGCGCTGCGCTCAACCGACTGCGCCACCAGGGAGACCCTGGCCACAAGTCTTTTTAATGGTCTCTGCTGTGTGCAAGGGGACTCCTCTTAATCTTATGTGGAAAATGGAAAGGTATACCAATCTGAGATTTGGGGTCAATTCCTAATAGGAATCATGAGAGTCTTTTGGATTTTGGAAATACTGTTTCATGACATTGTCTGCCTCATCCTCTTTGATCACATCATTCTCGGCCCTGCCTGTTGCGCTCTCTTGGCTCTGTATTAGGTCTGTAAGTCTTTCCAGTTTTACTCCTACATTTTTACTGATTATAACGGCTAAATCCCAAGAAGCTTGCTCTTGTCATTCAATCCATAGACTACTGGTCAAAGCCTTTCCAAAAAACAGGAGTCCCCTTCAAGATTGCTTGTATTTGTTATTTAAAAATATTAACATTGAATAAGACCAAGTTGAGAAAGCAAGCACATGAGCAATTTGCCAGGTAACTAATGACACTGTCACTTTCTGAGGATTTTTAGGTGATATAGAGGTCATTTACTTGGGGTTAGGTTTTATAGTAAGCCACACTCTACTATATTCAGACCATGTGCAAAGTTCCACTTCTGTGGGGGAGATTAAGGGAGGGGTCTAACTCATCAACTATTCTGGCAGGTGCTTCCATGAAGCCAGTATAAAAGAGTCCCTTGCCCTCAGCTCCCTTTCAGGGAACATCAGTGCCCTGGTAGACACCTGAAGGGAACACATTAACAGCTCACTATGGTGTCTTCCAACTGTTGAATATTTCTACTTGGTATGATGACAAAGATTCTAAAACTTTTTGTTCTCCCTGAATGAGATTAACTTCCTGTTATACCTATTTCAGGTAATGACAATCTCATTAGAATCATTCAGGCCCCAAACAGCAATAAATATCATTTTAACTCCCTTGTCTACCTTGCCCCTATCTGCAGTTGCCCATAAATTTGGTTCATTGTTCCTGAATCCACTTGTTCCTTCCCATTTCCAAATCTCCTACAGTATTTTATGACTCTAAAAGTGAAAGCACTCTACACCCAGTTCCTCAAGAACAGCTTCCCCTGACCTCCTCCAGATACCACCACCAGATTTGTGTTGCCCAAAGACTATTCAGATCATCACATTTTCCAGTGGAACTGTTCATCTGTAGATATTCCATTCATGTATTCAGAGTGAGAAAATCCTCTGAGCACTGTAAGAGATGGGTGTTTGATCAAAGCATAGAACAGTAAGTAATAGTCAAAAATTGAATTAATCAGATTCAGTACTTACAAAGAATGAAGAAGAGTCACTGAATTGGTTCCTAATTGCAAGAAATTTACCTCGATCAATTTGGGAGATGAAACTACAAAGATGCAGCAAGGTCTTTCTTTGAGCAGAAAGAATGAAACTCAGGGGCAAGGTGTTGCCTGGCAGGTGTAGGCAACATGGTAAAGGAGAACAATGGTGCAAGACAAGAGTTTAGGCACGTGGTCTCAGGAGTCAGAGTGCTTGGGTCTAAATCCAGGCTCTGCAAATTACCAGATAAATGTCCTTAGTCCCCTCTCTGTCTCAGTTTTCTCAATGTAAACTGAAGATATTAGTAAACTTGTTTGGTAGGCTATTGAGTTAGGATATAATCAACTTAATTGAGAGCCTGGCATAAGGAAGGTGTATACAAGGACTTCTTTTAAATATATTGATAGCAGTATATAAACAAGGTGGCTTTGGATACTCTCAAAGAATAACATGGTAGCTTTCTTTTAAGTAAACTCAGAACTGTCAATAACGAATGAGAGGGCTTCCCCGGTGGCGCAGCGGTTGAGCACGGGGTTGTGAAGCTGCCCGCAGCCTCTGCAGTGCTGGTTCGATCCCCGGCTGCTCCCCGGCCACCAGAGGAGGGTCCCACATGGCGCGCAGACCTCTCCTGCCGCCCGCTGCTCCCCTCAGCAGTGTACTTCGGTCCTTCTGCCTGTTCTGCATCCTGCTCTGACTCTGGTGAATTCTCTCACCCTCCCGCGCTTCTGACTGTACCCAGTGCTTGTATGAATAAATAAATAAATAAAATAAATCTTAAAAAAAAATTAAAAAAAAAAAAACAAAAAACGAATGAGAAAGCTTTTAAAACCCCGCTTCGCTTTGTCTTATCAAGGGGCTGTGATCAGGCTCAGGTTTAAAGCTTTTTATGTCTGAAATTATCATAGATATAAGAAAGTAAGTGATTTCCTGAGAATAGAGAGAAAAGACAGAGTTAAGGAAGCCAGTGATTGAATATATTTGTGTTTTAGTGGAAGAGGTACTAGTTTCACCATTTATTTCTATCAAATTGCTATATAGGCTTTGAGATCAGCTTGTTCTTTCTCTTAGGCCATCTCAACAGAGCCTATACACACCCCTACTCTGTCTCTAATGGACATGAGAGAGTGTCCTCTGAATAGGAGAAAAAGACAGGCCTTGGTATTGGGACCATTAAGTAAAAGCTAATGTCACAAAAGACATGTGACCCAAGTTGGGTTTTGAGGGGTGAAAAGACTCTAGATACACAGGAGAAAGTATGGGCCATGAAGATCAATCTCAGGAAATCAGAAGACATTTAGTGGAAAGTAAAATCTAATTACTTAATTCATCAAGACTAAAGAGATATGCCATGACATAGACTCATGATTATGGGCTGAGAAGTCAAGAAATATCTTATTATTACCCAAGCAAGTGGGGAGGACTCATTGGTACTTTCTTCCTCCATGTTCTCAAAACATAACCCATTTTTATTTCAAAACCAGGAATAGGTTGGCCCTGAGGATAAAGTCTGACTCTAATATGTGCCTTCCAGGCAATTCAGTTTATTATTATCATTGAAAACATTCCATCAATCACTCAATATGTGTTTATTGAGCCCTGCTAAGTGCCAGAGCTTGTTCTTAGCACTGACGTGCAACAGTGAACAAAATAACACTCACTGGGGAGGGAGGAGATGACCAAAGAAAATAAGTGAGTTATATAGATTTCATCGATGAAATAAATGATGCAATAAATGCTGTAGAGAAAAGTAAAGCAGAGAAGTAAACATAAATATTTATGTTTAATGTATTTATTATTTATTATAATTATTATATTTTACTTATAGTTGTCTAAAATCATTTTATATACTATATTTTTAACATATATGTTAATATTCTATATTATTTTAATATAAATAAATATATTTAAACAAGCACAGGAATAGTATGGAATATAATGTGAAATCTGAATGAAAGCTTGTGTAGTGTGTTGTTTTGATGTGTTGCAGTGGACTCCATTTTCTTCCCATGGATAGCATCTGTTCTTCTTTGTATCTAGCTTACTTTAGCTGAACAGTTTGTGAAGTACTTGTTAGCATGTGACCAAGGGGTCCCCAGGGACTCCAAGCTCTTGAGGGGTGCATACTCTGAAAGGGATTTGGCCATTTGTCTGCACAAAAACAAAGAAAGCAGATTCTTGGTGTGAAAGATTTTCCATAGGATAGTGTCCATAGATAGAGAAGAGAAGAAAGGATATTGTAATAAAACTCTAAACATTACCCATCCCCTCATGGGCAAATTGCCAGGCCAAACAATCTTGGCCAGAAGTAGGGCCATGGAGGCCTGAAAGTTTGCCATTAGTCTAAGTTACCGTCTGTGGCTACCTTAGGAAGGAAAGGGTGAGGCAGTTCCCAGAGAGCATAAATCCAACATGAAGTTGAGATAATGGCTGCCATTGTTTCTCTGCCAAAGACAAGGAGCAACCTCCCTGCACGTCTCTCCACCCATGTGTCTCTTTCAAGTGTCTCTACATGTCTTTCCTCCATCTGTCTCCTTCCATGTCTCCCCTCCAAGTTCCTGGATACAAGTCAAAGCTAGAGAAGCAAGAGAGTGGGCCCACCTGCCTTCTCTGTTATATTGGTCCACCTGGCTTCTCAACTCCACCATAATTCCCAGTAGCTCCCCTGCTCAGGAAGTCCAATCATGGTACACTGGGAGTCACAATCCAAGGTGGCTACATTTAAGTGGAGGTGAGGTGAATGGCACTCCCCTTCACAGTGGTGTGT